CAATGTTTTCGAAGAGAGGCCAGTCCCCTTGGCAGGCGGCGCAGTTGCAGCAGAAGAAATAGTGTTGCTGCAGCTCAGCCCGACGCTTCGGCCTAGTGTGGCTCACGTACCTCTCGCCGTAGCTGTCGGTGATTTCGGCGCCGCGAGGGATCACGCTGACGCTGTACAGGTACTTGGTGCTTCCGAGGCAGGATGTCAGCGCATTGGGTACGCACGAGTGGTTGATGAGGCTGAGGGCGGAGTAGACGGCCCAGCCTACCTCCCGCCCGCGGCTCCTGCCCACGACGCCCCCCTCCGCCGGACCGCCCCCGGTCTCCACCTCCTTCATGCAGTGCACGTTGCACTCCAAGCCCAGGATGAGGCGCATGAACTGACTTCCGATGAGGACGACGTCGTCCAGGGAGGGGATGACGATGTTCCCCTCCTTGTTCTTCAGGAACAACGAACTGTTCTCCAGCAAGACGCGCGTCAGAATGTAGGCCATAGCAGCAACCTCCTGCAGTTGCGCCTCGGAGCGGGCGGTGGCGTGGCCCTCCAAGTGGTAGAGGGCGCGGTAGCCGCCCGAGATCTCCAGCAGGGGCTTGTTCCCCCCCGTGCTGTTGGTCTGCAGCTGGCTGAGTGTGTCGCGCAGCTGGACGAGCGTGGTGGAGGCAAGGATTCTGGCGGCCAGCAGGGGCGCCGGGTCCAGCTTCAGAGACACCAGCGGTGCCAGCATCGCGCACTCGCCGCCGTGGGAGGCGCTCAGCCCTGCCGTCCGACAGCGCTCGCTGCAGAACACCACCTGCAGGCAAATACGGCGGTTATGGGAAGGTCACTTCCTTGTACTTTACTAATTATTTCGTTTTATTTATATCTATGAAAACTGAAGCTGAATGTAAGAGAATGGAAATTTCCGATGAGGTCTAGTCAATTTAGCAGGAAAGAAAAGACAAATATTACACAAGAGTAACACATAAACCCACATCCTTTGACAATTGTGTTAGGCTGTGACCTGCAAAGATGGCTCTAAATCCCTTAAAAGATAGAGTTTGATATGATCTGCACTGATAGCCTACATCCTTGTAAAAATACGACGAAAATCCGTTTTGCTGTAACCCACTACTTTCGTGAGACATTTACTAATTACTAAAGAACAGCAACAACAGCAGCTTCCACTTTTTACTCATTCCTCAACCACCCACACACTCATTCTTTCCTTAGATATGATTTCCTGTTATTTATTCATTCTTTATTCATTATTCATTCATTCCTCAGTTACTCATTCACTCCTTAATTACTCGCTACCTCATTCACTCATTAACTCATCCACTGACCAATTACTCGTTGATGCCTAATTAACTAATTCAATCCTCGATTCCTCATCAATAATTCATTCACTCATTCATTCCTCATTTACTCACTAATACTTTTTTCAACATTCATTCATTCCTCACTCATTCATTCCGCAGTAACTCACTACTACCTTAGAACTTCATCCTCTCCTCACCTGTTCATTCGTTCCTCATTTTATTCATTCCTGATTTACTAATGCCCCATTCACTCATTCCTCATTTACCAATGCCCCATTCAATCATTCACTACTTTTACTCAGACTTAACTTATTAACCCATCCACTCCCCAACTGCTACCTTATAACCTCGCCCACTCACTGACTCATTCATTCAACATTCACCCATCCACTTACCAATCACTCATATTACTCATTCATTCGTCATTCACCCATCCACTCCCAATTATTCATTCACCCATTCACTCTTCATTCACCCATCCACTCCCCAGTTACTCATTCACCCATCCACTTCCCAATTACCCATTCACCCATCCACTCCCCAGTTACTCATTCACCCATTTACTCCGTTACTCACTCACCCATCCACTCCCCAATTACTCATTCACCCATCCACTCCCCAGTTACTCATTCACCCATTTACTCCGTTACTCACTCACCCATCCACTCCCCAGTTACTCACTCACCCATCCACTCCCCAGTTACTACTCACCCATCCACTCCCCAGATACTCCTAGTACGCCTACTACTCACGAGCGAACACGTAGGGCAGGGGAGAGGGACGGGGGCGCGTCTGAGGCAGTGCGAGCAGTGCGTCCTGAACGTGCCATCGGGCTTGACGGCGGCGCAGACGGGGGCTTCAACCACGAGGACTTCGCCTGTGGGAAGGGGGAAGGGGGTCGGTCATGAGGGGGGCAGTGGTGGTGGGGATGGGGACTTGTAGTGAGGGGTGGTGAGGGTGATGGGGATGTATAGTGAGGATGAATGTATAGTGAGTGGTGGTGAGGGATGGGGAGAGGTGGTGGTGAGGGTGATGGGGATGTATAGTGAGGTGGTGGTGAGGGTGATGGGGATGTATAGTGAGGTGGTGGTGAGGTGATGGGATGTATAGTGAGTGGTGGTGAGGGTGATGGGGATGTATAATGAGGATGGTGGTGATGGTGATGTATAGTGAGGGTGGTGGTGATGGTGATGTATAGTGAGGGTGGTGGT